CTCGTCCTTAACTGCAACGCATGTATGCCTCCTTCCTGCGCAATCTCATCCTTTAATAAACCATACACCATCCTGTGTCGCGCGGGCTGCGGTTTCGATGCAAATGCGGAGGAGATTATCGTAACGCTGTAGGACATGTCAGCGGGAATTTCATTGAATCCAATGGGATGCGCTGTACTTGAAGTGCGTCTCTTTGGAAGTAACGCCGCGCATTGGCGCATGGTGGGCGTGGAGATGGGAGTCGTTGCGGATGGTGAGGGTGGTGGGGGAGAGAGCGGTTTGTATCTGTAGGGGAAACGAGGTGGTTTGATTTAGCATGGGATCCTATTTCATGTTGAAAACAAAAGTTCTGCGTCGAACCTTTGTTCGGATGATGTCTTCCATGGGCGTGTTTGAAGGCGCTGGGGATACGGAGTCTGCGGGCGGAGCGGACATGCTGGAGACGGAGCGGAGGAGCGACACGCGGTGCTGGCGGAGAAGAGTGAGCGGGCGGAGCATTTGTACCTCGAGAGCGTGGGCGGGACGGGATGTGTGATGTAGGGAGGATAGGAGGATATGGAGCTCTCGGGTGGGATCAAAGGATGAGGTCTGTAACTAGTCAGCTCACACTCGGTTGAATCTCTCCGGGATGGAGCATCATCCATTCCTCCAGAGGAGCTCACCAATAAAACCATAACCGGAACAAAGCAAGCACTTGACTAACTTTACTTTCAGAATGCAAAACGGCAGCATCTTGAGAATATAACTACATAATTACAGCATGGCGTCCGTTCCTCTCTGAACGTTCACGATCAAGCATGATGAACAACCTCCGACACATTGCTTCTCTTCTGGCGGGTTGCCGGAAATGCCAATTGATCCCAACTCGTGGTTTTCCAGCCTTGACCCGTGTTTCGCGCCTTCGTACTCGACGAGAAATCTCGACCGTGCCCGATCTCCCTCTATTCCGAGCTCTGACATTGCACGATCCAAAATCAACGTCAATCGTCCACAGTGCTTCGGGCCGGGCATTTAACTACGGTCGTCTCCTTGGTGATACCCTGCGAGCACAGGACAAGCTATTACGACTGGCAGGGCATAACCTAAAGGCAGGAGATGTCTCTGGTCAACCGGTAGCATTTCTAGCGGAGAACAGCTATGACTACGTGGGTACTGTTTTAACACTACCAGCGATGTCGGGAATATCGATGGCTAACGCTTGGGGATATCCCGTTAATAGTGACCCTACTTTCGATTCTTGCGTCGGATGGCATAGCACTCCCACTCTCACCCGCTTTCCCAGCTGGCGAATTGACATATATATTGGATAATTCTCAGGCTAGGATACTTCTAGCCACCGAGAAATATGCGTCCAAGGCGCAACAGGTTGTTGAAGGTGATTTGGAGAATCCTCCGGTGTTAGGAGTGATTGAGAGAATTGAACATGGGGGTGACTCGGGACTGGAGCCGCAGTTCGGACATCAGCGCCAGCGAGGGGGAATGATGCTTTATACTTCAGGTACAACAAATAGACCGGTATAGTAACTCGCTATGGTGCCTGAAAGGGAGCCTTGAAACTGATTGGGCCTTAGAAAGGAGTTTTACTACCTCATTCCGCTCTTATGGCGCAGATACAATCCTTGGTGGACGCGTGGGAGTATTCTCCAAGGGACCGATTGCTTCATCTCCTTCCGCTGCATCACATCCACGGAACAGTGAACGCGATTTTAGCGCCGCTTCTTGCCGGGTCCTCGATTGAATTTATGTTTCCTTTCAACCCTACTGCCGTCTGGAACAGGTTTGCGTCACCTTTCCTCTCATCTCAACCAAACACTCAGGTCAACGATAAAACGCCAATAACATTTTTCACCGCTGTTCCAACCATTTATACCCGTCTTCTTTCCACCCACGCCAGCCTTCCGTCAGAGACTCAGCAGGCCGCAAAGGTCGCCATATCACCCCAGCATCTCCGTTTAAACATCTCCGGCTCCGCGGCCCTTCCCACGCCCATAAAGTCAGCTTGGACAGAACTTAGTGATGGCAATGTCCTTCTCGAGCGGTACGGGATGACCGAAGTCGGCATGGCTCTAAGCTGCGGTTTAAACCCGCAAGACCGCGTCGATGGAAGTGTAGGGTGGCCGCTACCATCCGTGGACGCTAGACTGGTTGATCCAGACACCAACAGGGTGATCCAACCAGGAGAGGAAGTCGATCAACATGGTCGTGAAAGAGTGGGTGAAATCCAGCTTCGCGGCCCGACGATATTCAAGGAATACTGGCGGAACGAAAAAGCCACAAATGAGGAGTTTGTCTCCGATCCAGACGGGAAGGGGAAATGGTTTAAAACCGGAGACATGGCTATTAGAAGACATGTCCAAGGAACCGGCGAGAGCGCGCAAGTTTGGGCTCGCGGGCCGATGTACTTTATACAGGGACGGAAAAGCGTGGATATCATCAAGACCGGCGGAGAAAAGGTTAGCGCCTTGGAAGTTGAAAGAGAGTTACTTTCTCTGTAAGTACCCTGGCACTTTTTTCTTATTCGAATCCTTCTCATTTTCCCTCCCCGCCGCTTTTCCTTCTTGGCTGACCGACCTGATAGGCCTCAGATCGCGGAAGCCGCAGTCGTCGGCCTCCCATCCCAACAATGGGGTCAGAAAGTCGCAGCCGTCCTCGCCCTTAAACCCGCCTTGTCATCTGACGAAGAAAGCGGCGGTAAGAAGATAAAGAAGTTTAGCGCTCTGGATATGCGACGTGCGTTAAAGGATAAATTGGCGACCTACAAGATCCCACAGGAGATGCGAGTCTTGGAGGGCGGTTTACCGCGAAATGCGATGGGCAAAGTTAATAAGAAAATGCTTGTGAAGCAAGTGTTTGGAGACATGCTATGAGCTTCACTCGCAAATCAGTGTAGGTTGCGACTGGGTTCAGATTTCTGGTTGTAGACCATATATTGCGATATTCACGGCAGCCTGGATCGGATCAATAGAAAATAGAACATGAAGCAGGTATTCTCTGGCAAAGTAACAATAAAAATACAAAGCCTATAGGAGAATCGGCGAAAAACACTCCATGGGAACTTTGAGAAGGAACATTAGAATAGATGCACTATGAAGGGAGCTAGACATAGGGCGAGGCTCCAATATTCACATCGTTAAATAACATAAGATGACCACCCCCCTTCTCGCCCACCCCCCATTTTCACCCATCTTATAGATTTTCAACCCACCCCATTAGAGCTCCATTTCTCAATGAATTTCTACCAGAGTTGCCATTCTATCATACAAGCTTCCATACCAGCCTGAAGAACCTCTGCTGCATCCTTTTTTGCCTGTAAATCAGATTACTGTTGTTGAATATGAAGCTCTAAGACTTTGGCTTCATCCTGAGCCTTCCAAATGGATTCAATATTTGCAAACTGTGTATTAGAATCCAATACTACTCTCTTCTTGACTTTTGACCTCTGTAGACCTTCCAGCTGACTTGTGAGTTTGTGATTTGAGACTTGAAGCAATGCCCACTCTGCATTTGAGCTCTCTAAAGTCTTGCTAATCTTTCTAAAGAATCCCTGCTGTGTTGTAGTAAGAATTCCTTTCTTATTTAACTGCCCCAATGCCTTATAAATATCTTGTGCACTTCAGAGTGTATTTAGCAAGAGATCTTGCCATTTGAAGCTTGATTCAGACAGATTTGGGCTGGGAGATGTAGTAGGATGGATGGACTGTATTTGGGAGGATTCCAGAGCTTTAAAAGAATTATATGAAACTAATTCAGCAGCTTTCCATCCACTCCTAATATTCTTAGTTGTCAGAGCTTGCTTTCTAGCAGACTCATAAGCTGAAACAAAGCAATACTTCTTAACTGGAGCAGCATCATCAAGATAGCTCAGCTCTGAAATATTCTTCCAGTAGTGAGCTTTTATGAATGAAAAAACAGTCAAATCCAAGAGCTGTAAAACATGAAAAGTGTGCAGAGGAAGAAACACCAAATGCACTTGATTTTGCTTGCAAATCCATAGAAATTCAATGAATACATGACTTCCATGACCATCAAGAAGCAGCAGTCTATACTCTTCTTCTGCTGGCTTGATTTCAGACAGAAAAATCTTCTTCAGCCATTGAATTCCAATCTCATTTGAAGTCCAGCCATTCTGAGATGCAGTATAGATCCAATCTGGAACATTTTCTTTAAACCAAGAGGATTGAGGGTGTTTTCCATGAAATATAACAAGAGATTGTGTAAACTGACCAATGGCTGATATAGTCTCTTCAATTGTCACCCACTCACAGCTTTCTGGGATCTTGAGATATGCCTTTTTATTCTCTGCATTTGTGAGGACCTGGGTATTCAAACAAACTCCCAAAGCAATGCCATGCTCATCAAAATTCCATACATTAGGTGTGGTGATTGAGTATTGGGTTTGGGTGTGTTCAAAAAGGTCATAAAACTCTTGAATCATCTCTGGCTGGGAGTTCTCTATCCATTTGGCATCTATTCTTCTTCCCACAACTGATTTCACACATGGATTTCTCTTTATAAACTTTCCAACCCAATCCTTGCCTAGTGGTTCATTATTGCTGTTCATTATGAGTATTTGGATTGCCATTTCTCATACATGGGCATGGGAGGGAGGATATCCTTGAAGATTCTGCTCTAGTATTCATTCAGCTAGGAAATGCTCTTGAGCAGGACTCAATTACTGATGTTGTGCTTGACCTAACTGTGAATTTATACAGCCAGCCATTTGAAACTGTAGGGTGCTTCTTGGGATGCCAAACACATTGGCAACAGCTCTTAAGGATTTATATTGACCAGAATGAAAAGCTTCAATAGCTTCAGTAATAGATTTTTTGCAATTTAAAGTCATATTGATAAATTTGGTTGAAGGTTGGAAGGTTGAATGTTGGATGTTGAGATTTGAAGCAATTTTACAAGTGGGCGAAAACAGGGGGTGGGCGAGAAGGGGGGTGGTCATCTTAACTCATCTGTGGGTAAACTCTGTATCCCATCTGTCATAGCTGTGGTTGACGAAGAGAAGACACCTAAAACCTCCCCAGACATGAATTCTCTCTCCGAACCTTTGTATCCATTGCGTCTCATAAGCTTAATCTTTCAAACCACAAACTTCGCCTTAGCTCTGGTGCTTCCTGCAGTAGCGCTTTCGGTATGGCCAGAAAATTCTAACTGATCTGTATCCTTCAACCTCAGAACCTCCTTGAACCTTCTACCGATTGCTTTCAAAATCTCCTCGCTTTTGTCGACAGTGCGTTTATCAGAAGCCGGTAGAGGCTTTCCAGTGGTTCTTGTCCAGAGACCGATACGGTAGAATCCTTTGCGCACATTGACCACAACACCCATCACTTCGTTATCACCATCGTTTTCGAGAGTCTCACCGATGGCGGCGAGCTGAGAGTGGAGCCAGAGCTCGTCAATAGGAACGCTACGCTTATCTTTGAATTGAAACGACCATTTTCCGCCATGCTTGTTATGTTGATCTTCCCATTCTGGTCGAATACCTTTTTTGAAAAGGTGATAATCCGCTTTCAAACCGAGCTCTGAAGTTGGTGTGATGTTGTTCTACACAAGCAAAATTAGTATACGAGCACAGCAGTTGTTTCATTCGAAGTAGTAATGAGTGCAACTCACGTAGATACCCCAAAACTCTTCAACGGAATTAAATGTTACGACTTCTTTTAGGAGATCATTCCAGTTATCGCCCTATTAATTGAAAAGATCGGGGTCAGCAGTCCGTCATCAGTACTCGTGAAAGGACCTTCAACTCATACCTTGCCACTTGAAGGCTTTGTAAACCATAGTGTCCACTCGTTCATCAGAGGATGCTTCACGTTGAAATTGTTTGGGTCATGGAAAACTGTGACCTCTTCATCGCCTTTTAGCCCAGCTTCCGCACCATTTGGGGGTGTGTTCTCGTCTGGTACGGGAGCGACGACATTTCCTGCAACTGCTGCGGCCATTTTGAAAGCTGGTATCAGATTTTCGACCGAGTATATAGGGAAAAGGTATATCTGTCGATGCGCAAGTGGGATGGAAGAGTCTAGCGCACGTTAAATGAGGACTCGGAAGAGTGAATCGAGGTCGAGGGGGTCAGTGTTGCTTTTGAAGTGTTCGAGAGGAGGCGGGAAGGCTCGATGCGAAATGCTTGCCACTTCGCGGATTCGTTATCACTGGAGTAGCAAAATTATAAAAATGAAGACAAAGTGAGAGAGCTCTGCTCCAGGCAGAAGGTAAACGGGGTATTAGAAGGTTTGCTATTTCCTTTGAGGCGTGCGCAGCTGAGAGTTGCCGAGCGATGATTTTTTCCGTGCTGTTTGGAGAGTCTGGACGGTGAGATGGCATGTTTGCCGTGTTTGACTGCTTATATAATTACAAAGTTCTACAAAGCATTCCGCTCAAAGAAAGAAAATTGATCGGAATATTGAAAAAAAAAAAGACCACCGTTCTATTATAATAATACATTCTGCAGTGTATAGTGTAGCCAGCAATTGATCTATATCTGGGGTATCGAGCTGTGTATCCCATTTTGTAACAGACCTCCACCCAGGTAAAATCTATCCTCACGGTTTTATGAACGACATTAAGAAGGGAATTATCCGATCCCCGTGTTGTTTGAATGACTTTCAAATCATTTCTGGCTGCTTCTTGCTGTTGATGAGGCTGAGAATGCAATTCCATCCTGTCAAACGAAATTAGAATCAAGATATAAACCAACAAGACATAAATGAGAACTCACCCAAGCTCACAACGTTGACAACCAATACTCGATGTTCGAGTGGCACGAGCGAAAAGTTTGCAGCTTGTACCCATGGCCATAACATCAGGTTCGCTTTGTACGCCGGCAAGAAGCTAGTTCGGAGCTTCTCGATAGGGTCGTTACCTTCCATCACAGACATCGAGGAGAGGAAGGCGAAGAGGTGCGTCGGAGTGAACAGGAGCTGATCGCTGCACACTCTGGCAACTAATGTGAGTGTGCGATTTTTGAGAGCTACGTTTCGTGCAAGGAATTTGTACCAAGTCGCGGCAGCAGGGCCAAATATGGCTAAAGAGATCAATCAGCGTCTGACCAAGGGCGTTTCAAAGGCAGGGCACGAAACATACCGCCGCCATAGAGTGCCATTCGACCCGTTCGGGCATAGTTATGGTTCTCAATGCCGACTCGGTCGACGAGTTGCTGTGCTAAGACATCTCCGGCGCCGAAGAGGACCTGTATCATCCACCACGGCAAAGTTAGCGGTAATCGTACACTCCTTATCAACGGCGTGACAAGAGCACGGACTCACCGCGCTTCCAATACTTTGTGTGAGCAACGGATTCCGGGCCAGTCGAGCTTGGTACCTGAATAGCACGTGAAGTTAGCAGGACACCGAATCTGACTCGCAAACGGGCTTACCAGCGTAGCATTGTCGACGATTGGCTTCAAGAAAATCGCTACTGAACCGAAAGGACTTGATCGGGCATTGTTGCAAAGCCTGCAAGTCCAGCACTCTCACTCTCTTTGTGTCCAGCGACCCGCAAAATCAGCTTCACCAGCTCGACGATCAGATGATGTGCCAAGGACCCTAGTAACTAACTAGTGGTGCTACGGGTAAAACCTTCCGCCTTGTCATTCTCAAGCTTATCAAAAGGAATAATCTGCTAGATCTAGCATGCTACAAGAATTCAGCGTAGTAGTATACGGGGTATCGAAGGACACAAAAGAGCAAATATAAACTGGTTATGCATCGCTCTTCTCCCATTAGTCACATAATTAATCCACACATATTGAACCAGCAGCATGTTTTTGCGATTCCGCAGAATCATACCAGCGGTCCTCAAACCAACCTGCCGACACACGCGGCTCCAACATAGAAGTATGGCAACACGCATGGAGCCTAGCAAAGTCAGGTACGGATTTGTGGAAGAAGTTGAGCGCTTGGATTATTATGTTCGCGGAGGCTACCATCCTGTCATGATTGGCGATGAATTCTGTGCAGGTCAATATGTTATTGTTCATAAACTTGGATTCGGGCGTTCTGCTACAACCTGGCTGGCAGAGGACAAAAGGGCCAAGGCGAAGACAACTTGTTGCGCTCAAGATCTCCACAGCTGGATCAGTTGGCCGAACCCATGAGATGCAGACTCTTTCACAGCTAGCTAGAGCTGAATCTAGGCTCCCTGGAAAGGCTATTGTACAGAACCTGCTCGATTCTTTCACATTCTCTGGGCCCAATGGTACTCATCAGTGTTTGGTCACAGATGCCGCCAGAACGAGTATTCATGAAGCCAAGGAGGCTCCATACCATCGACTCCTTCAACTCCCGGCTGCTCAAGCCATAACATCACAACTTATACTTGGCCTGCAATTTATCCATTCTCAAGGCATTGTTCACGGTGGTATGTTAGGAAACTTACAACCCCTTTTTCATTGCTCAATTCAGACTGCAGATTTCAATCTAAACATAGCTTTAGATCTTCACCTTGCAAATATTCTCCTTCGGTTGCCACCTGATATGCAAGGCATGACTCTTGAGCAGCTGCGTGATAGAACTGGGGAACCAGCAAAAGAGCAGGTTGTTTGTGAAGATGGTGCCCTGCTTGACCATGGAGTCCCTTTGGAGGTCATTGTTCCTCTGTGGCTTGGAATTGATAGTGACAAGATTTTCCTGGTGGATTCTGCCATAATGATTGCAGATTTTGGAGAAGCATTTGATCCTCGAGTCACACCACAGTTTGCTGCTCATACACCACCTTTACTTGCACCATCAGAATCTTGCTTTGCAGAGCCAGGAGAATTGGATGAGTCTCTTTCTTTCTCAGCAGATATATGGACACTTGCATGCACTATCTGGGATATTTTTGGATCCAGGCCCCCTTTTGAAGCCTTCCCTGTCACCTTGGATGAGGTCACAATTGAGCATGTGGAGATGCTGGGTAAACTCCCTGATCGCTGGTGGAGGAAGTGGGCAGAAAGAAGAAACTGGTTTGATGAAGATGGACAGAAGAATGTGAAAGAGAGTCTCTGTCAGTGGTACAGTAACAGCTCCAGGGACTGGGACCAGCGATTCAGAGACTATATACAGCACCCACGGCAGAGGAGGAAGTTTGACTTTTCAGAGGAGAAAGCATTCTGTGACATGATAAAGTCGATGTTGGTCCTTGAACCAAGCAAAAGGGCCACAATCGATGAAGTGGTGAGATGCGAATGGATGCTGAGGTGGGACCTGCCAGAGCTGCAGAGAATGGATGCAATGCTAAAGAGCTCTTGAGCTGCTGTTTGGCCTTGAGACGCATTCTTGAATGTGGTTTATTCGGACGTAAACCACGGCCAGCAATCATACGCAATCAGCTCCTCTTTCGTAGGGCCAACCAGTCCCAAGAACGTATCGACGATAAAGTCTTTGAAGGCGCTTGAAGAGATGTTGTAGAAGTTAGAACTGGCTGATCAAAACCGCGCGGTCGACTCGTATTGCCACGGATGATATCCTCTTTCGACCAGAAAGTAGGGCTTAGGTCTTCGACGATAGGGTTTCCCGGTCACCTCGCTTAGCCGCATCTTACATAATCCACCACCAACCGCTGCCATCGCCGAACTTGCAGCCAATTTTGGATTTGAAGGTCGAAACGACGACGAGCACCAATTCAGCCGACCGTTCGACCACCAAGCGTTTCCTTTCGATCTCCCCGTCCTTCTCCATACATCAATCTCCATAATCGAATATGGCTGACGCTCCCCGTGGTGGTGCTGCCCGTGGAGGCTTTGGTTCGCGCGGCGACCGTGGACGTGGCCGTGGTCGTCGTGGACGCCGTGGACCCAAGAGCGAGGAGAAGGAGTGGCAGCCCGTCACCAAGCTCGGTCGTCTCGTGAAGGCCGGAAAGATCACCAGCATGGAACAGATCTATTTGCACAGCTTGCCCATCAAGGAATACCAGATTGTTGATTTCTTCTTGCCCAAGCTGAAGGATGAGGTTATGAAGGTACACACGCCAGTCTACAAGTTTGACTTTTCGCGATGGGGCTGTTTTTGGATTATCTATGTGGTTTTTGAAGACATGGGAAGAATGGGATATTTTGATGGAGCGGAATGAATTTACATTGAACCGGTGCTAATTCCTGATGCTTCGCGACTTAGATTAAACCCGTCCAGAAGCAAACCCGTGCCGGTCAGCGTACCCGTTTCAAGGCCATTGTTGTTATCGGAGATTCTGAGGGCCACGTCGGTCTCGGCATCAAAACATCCAAGGAAGTCGCAACTGCTATCCGCGCTGCTATCATCATCGCCAAGCTCAGCGTTCTTCCTGTCCGCAGAGGTTACTGGGGCACCAACCTCGGTGATCCACACTCGCTGCCAACCAAGGAGAGTGGAAAGTGCGGTTCCGTCACTGTTCGAGTACGTATTGCGATTTCCGCGTTGTGTTGGGAATCAAGGAGTGCTAATCTGTCAATAGTTGATTCCTGCTCCCCGTGGTACTGGTCTCGTCGCTTCTCCCGCCGTCAAGCGTCTTTTACAATTGGCTGGTGTCCAGGATATCTACACATCATCTTCCGGATCCACCAAGACACTTGAAAACACCCTGAAGGCTACCTTCGTCGCTGTTGCCAACACATACGGCTTCCTGACACCTAACCTGTGGAAGGAGACTAAGTTGGTTAGAAGTCCACTTGAAGAATTCGGCGATGTTCTTCGGGAGGGAAAGAGATATTAAAAAGGTTATGTTTATTTTAATTCTGTCTCTTTTTCTGCCATGTCCTCTCTCTAGCTAGGTTGAAAGGAGTCTGCGCAAATGAGAAATGATTCAAAATGCAAGACGGTTTAAGTCGGCATCCCTGATTTTCAACTCTTATGGTCCCGAAGTTAGTGTGAATATCGAATCCGTGAGCCGAGATGAATCGGAGTTTGGTTGAGGGCTATCTGCCACTCTGCGCAATTTCGCAGCCTTCAATGTAGATGGCGTCTAAGTGTTTGGCATGGCTCTTCGACGTCAAATCAGATCAGTTCGCCCCTTTATTGCTCTGAAAACTAAACAACCTTCCTTTCAATTCCACCCCCCAAAAAGTAAACTGGCAAAGGGGGATTTTTTTGCTTTAAACGGGTCAATGCAAAAGGGCCGCCACTCCATAAATGACACTTCATGCAGCCTTATCTCAGGCTCCAATACTCAGCTCCCGGGGCCTTCTCCCGGGGCCCTCCATCAACCTGTCAAGAACGCCCATGTAATTGGGGCGGCCGGAGCGGGTAACAGGGTAGAAACTCCGTACTCGGGGTGGCCAAACAAACCGCCCCCAAAAAAAATGCAATTGATGACCCCTCGGCGCGCTCTACGCATGGAAGATTCTTTTACATTAAATGCTTATTTTTAGAGGATTCGGGGTACCATTGGGGGGAAGGGAACGGATGCCATTCAGAGGATTGTTGCATTTTGAAACAAGCGGACTTGCAGGGCGTATCTGCAAGGGGCGCATTGTACAGGAAAGAAAGACTCTACAAAGAAGAGATTGTCACAACAGCTAACAATCAAGCCCAAAGCTTTCATATAGACCATAGATTCTCCGCAGTAGACCCCCCCAAGCATTGGAGTCCTAGATTCCTTTAGCTTATCAGTCCTACACCATTCTGTTAATAGCCTGGGATACCTCTAACTAGCAAGTGATGGATTGAAGGATGGGAGATCCGCAAACAAGCCCATGACAGTCATACACCCAAGAAGAGGTGAAATATCCCATACAACCTGCACAGCTATCACAGGTAATAACACGCGTGTCGAACCAGCTTTGTCCCTGGCAGCACAACAAACAACTCTTGCTCTTCATGGAATGCTATCATCACAACAGCCCGCTTCTCCCTCCTTCGCGGCGACGACCTCATATCCTGCAAATCACAACAGAATAACAGGCCTAGTGTGAGTCAAACGGGCCAAACGCAAAGTGACGCCGAGAGCTGGATAAGAAAAAGATGCCTTGCCATGGAGGCAAAGCTTCCTTTCTTCAGTGTTCCAGGGCACTGGACAGTGATGGCGAGATAAACAGCACCTCTGAGAAACAGTCAGGTGAGCTTCAATAACAAGCAGTCCAACATCACAAAATAGCGTCAGGAACCCTCAAGCTGATATAAATGCCAGAAAAGCTCAGCAGATCGTCTACTCCGTTCCCTAGTCGCCCAGTGTCGTCAGCTACTTCTGTATCAATTTCAGACGCGTTACGCCGAAGCATTTTCAAGAAGCGTCCTTTCAGCATGAGCGACAGTCCACGCTTCTCTCTACGCTTTAATAGCGCAGAGATTAGTCGAGTCTTCGACTTTGGGCGAAACACGCGCACCCGTACCGTGTCGATTGGCAGCAGCAGCTACAATCTCCTGCAGGCCGAAACGAACGAAAGCAGGGAACTGTTCCGCGACGACACGCGCTATGCCGATGGATCAGCTAAGCCGATCATGTCCTTCCGCGGAGGCACGTCATGGCGCCATTTGGACACCGAACGCGAGTCGCTTTCCCTCGACCTGTTCTGGTCAAGCCATAAGGAGAACCCATTCCGCCCAGACATCATGCCGATGATGGAGCTCGCGCCACTTTGCAACTTCCGTAATCTGCGCAGCCTTAAGCTGACTGGAATGCTTCAGTCTTATCAGCTCCTCATCTGGCAGACAGTGTGGCTCAGTCATGGTTTGGAAGAGTTGCATTTGGAGATGGCACTGGAGCCGTGTATCCGCCACACATTCTGTGGAAGCTGGCCAAAGATCAGGGGAAAGTGGTTTCCACGAACTGCAGTTACAGCTCGGGGCCTCTATTAGTAAGTGGAGAATGAAAGAAATAGAAAAAAGGGGAGCTGGCGACGGGCAGCTCCCTTTAGTGAATAGGGTCAGAATGACTAACTACTCGCTACAATCAACAGTGGCAAGAATGGACGAGGTGAATTGCAGCGCCGCGTTGGATTTGGAGAATACCTCGACAAGCATGCAATTGGAAACGCAAAGGAAGCGGCCGCAGCCGTGGGCGCTACCCCGGACAAACTCCCAGTTGTCAAGTTAACGCTGATGGGCTTTGTGGTTGATTCAGACCCATTCTTTCTCTGGTTCAACCCCCACCGCCTCCGCAGCATCGAGTTCAAGGACCACTGCGTCGACGCCGGGTTTGCTCTCCCGGTCCAAATGAGCGAGCACGTCGTTGTGTCCTGGCCGCGGCAGGACAATCCTGGAGAGCCAATGTGGGCACGACGAGTCACGCCTGGAGAGATCCAACTGATCGATCGGAAAAGGACTGCCAACAAGGGAGACAAGGGCAAGGAAAAGGCCGGTGCAGACGAGCAGGCGGCGTCGAAGCCAGGACAGGGCAAAAGAAGCGGCAAAGCAACCGTCAGCCAGCCGGAAGATGCGCCGTCGGGACAGCCTGCTCGTCGCTCAGGAGGAGGAGGATTGCTGCACATCGGCGGGCGTCGCTTTCTCCGGAAGAAGAAAAACACCGACTGAGAGCTGACTAAGCAAGAGGTGTTGAACGGACGACATGCTTCACACTGTCAATGGTTGATTCTGCTGTGCATGCGTGATGTGGGTGAATTCCAAGGCGAATATGTATTATACTGCTCTCGACATTGTCTGTACATAAATTGCTTTAGTGCATCTGCTACAAGTTGGGAATGGAGCTGTGCCACGGTCATTTAGGCCCGTGATATCAGCCGAAAACGCGCGACCAACCGAGATGTGAAACTTGCGCTTATATTGCGGGTACTCTGCCATTCAATTATTGAAGCAAAGAGAAATTCAATCTCTGTGTTCTGAAGGGCAGCGGTGGTGGCAGCACAGCAATCCATGATCACCAGTACCTCCCTACCAAATTGTTTCGAGATGGATTGAATATCAGTCCAATTTACCCTGGGCGCGTTTGGTACTCGAGACCTACTACTGATTTATTATTTAGATTCATCGTTTGACCACCGGAGTGCCAGGACATGGACTTCCTTGCTGTGGGCTGGGCGCGCCTAACAGCATCATTATCCTAGCGATAACGACTCTAAAATCATGATTCCTCCCTCAGGATGCCGGAGTCCGTATTGAACATGTGCGGAAGGCGCAAATGAGGGAGGAGGGATTGTTTCTTTGCACTGCGCGCTCATACGCGGTATCGCGACGGTGTTGCGGAGCGTGGCCAGGAGGCGAAACTGGGGGAATATAATTCATTCTGCTCAAAGTATTGATTCTTGAGCATTCTAATACTTTGTAGCTTCCAGAACAGGAATGGGGACCCGTTATCGAATCACTATAGGTTGTTATTTGGAGATTTGCCTTGCAACTGGAAGTGCGACTGTCTCCATATATCAAAATAGAAAATGCCCCAGCGATCAGACATATAGACTAACAAAAGTCGAAACAAGAGCCTCCGGGTAAAAGGACGCGTGTTTTCCAACCACAATGGGTTGCTGGCTTGCTTTGCAAGTTGCCTGAAATTTATGTAATCTCTTGAGATTCCATGTATACTCTGATATTGAAATGATCTCTAAACAATGTGATAGATGTAATGTTACTCCCTCAATAACTAAATCTGTTTATTGGAGAATACAGTGGTCGATAACAGGTAGATAGTCGACACCGAATCAAGGACCGGAAGTCGATAGTTGGAATGAGCGGATCGATTGTATAGGGTTAGAATACTAAAGTTCGAAGGCGATCTGGAGTCAGGTGAATAGTTGTTGGAACGAAAGTCAGGGAGGAGTCAATCGGAATAAGAAAGCGTTTGATTCATTAGGATCAAGAGACGTCCGCCCTTTCTGCTCAGCTAGTTTAGATAGATGCTTAGCCTAGCATTTTGTTGTTGATTAACTGCGGATGGAATCCTCCAGCTTGCGTCTTTTAATATGAAGCTGGAGAAGGGTCAAATTGAGCTTATCACCGCTGAAAACGAGCTGTTATTATCCCCATATAGTTAGAAGCGAGGTTGTCCATTGATAAACTGTATCATGACCTTGGAAAGCAGATTCAATTGAGATCAGTGGGATTAGTTTTAGCCCTGGGAACTCCTAGCGACCCTGATTATCAAATAGGCAATTTGATCGCAAGCAATCCGCCACGATGTCCGACATATTAAGACGGTAAACCAGAATCCTTACCATATAACCGCCGACAATTTGACAAAGAAAAAATCCCAATCACATAGAAACCCAGTTAAAGCATAATTGTACATCGAAAGCCTCATACACCGAGAACGTGGTTTTGCATCAAATTATCACTTCAGGATGGGCAAGTTTTGCCTTACCGGGGCAATTTATATCAACATGCCGACTTCAAGGTTGGCAAACGGCGTGGTATTGTGGTGGCTTGGGCCTGGCCTTGACATTTGACTGGCTGATCTAGGCCTCATGTATAAAACGTCGAATCAACTACGCTCCTTCGTTATCACCAACTCTAATGGCTCCTTCGTTGCCAATTCCGTTGGACCAGAATCCATCGATGTTGAGGGTACTGTGCATAAAGTAAGCCGGTCATATTCGTTCAAAGGCTGGTGGAAACTTGGGACCTACATGGATTGCATGCTATCGTGGGAAACGAGGAGCCAGTACCCGAATACGCCCTGGGACAAGACGTCAAGGATGGCATAGATGATGATTTCGGCATCAACGCTCATCCGGCGTGTGTTGGAAGAAGCAGCCCAGATGCTGTGAACATGTCAGTTTCGTTGTCGCCATTACTATTCTCGTGCAAGATAAGTGACTTACATCGGATAAATCAGGAGAAGAACGAGGAAATACCCCGCGATCGAAGAGTAGAACGCCCTGGTCTGGTTGTCCTTGGCCAATGTTGCCCTGCGTCCGTGGAATCCTGTATGATACAAAATGGTGAGGTACGACAAACACGAGATCGTAAACCAGGCCCATCTCGTTCCTCCGTGTCCGCCAAAGACGCTGATCAGCCCGGTGACGAACATGATGATATTGGCGGCAACGGAAATGAGAAGACTAGCTCCGTTTAATCCCGCGAGCAGGGCCAAGTTGACGAGGATGAGGGAAAACGAGAGACCCCAGTTAAGCCAACGGACCCAGAAGACCTGGCGGAAAACCTGTTCCACGGTGTCAGGTGCCTTGTCGTGGTGATGACGGATGGTAACGAGGTTATAGCCAATTCCCTCTCCGGTAGCCATGGCAAAATAGGCGAGGAAGGAGATGGTCGTTATGAGTGATGTGAGGACATGGAAAAGTCGTTTTTGCTAGGAGTTATCACCGTCTGTTAGCATATGAACTTGTCGAATACCAGATTTCTTCACTCACCACTACTACTCTGGCGCCTAGGATATAGAAGATCAGAGATGAAACAAGCATTAGGATCGTAACCACCCTAGAATCAATTAGTCCTGAACCCTCAGCTCTGTTATCATCTGCTAAACTTACCATAAGCATCGCTTTCCATTGCCCCCAAGCTCCTGAAAGACAGGAGGATGCCCAATGGGCGGAATATGCGGCTTATCCATCATCTCCGGTACATTCATGATGCCGTTTTTATTCAAAAGTAAGGCCCAATTGCTTCAAAATAGATTTCACAAACAAAACAATCGCGAATCGTCCCAGTATGTCGATGTTCTGTCTTTCTCAAGCAACCACTCCGTAGTCACCAGCGGCAAATCCAGATGAGACACCTGCCCGTCCATATATAATCATACTCTAAACCAGGCGGATGGCGACAGCCTCCCCGGTCCAACCCAGCCAGGCTTAAACCATTCCCCGCTACTGCTCGCACAGGATCAAGCCGGCATCTTGTTGCACCCACGGCCAACGCCGCCCCCCAGGCCAGCACGTCGTCATCGGTTTGCCAACTCGCATGGTGTCATCCAATCGGGCGCAACGGAGTACGGCGGTAGGCTCTCGAGAAACCTTGGAATTGTTGGAACTTGAGTTTGTTCGCGGGGGGTGAAGAAACGAGGGCGAAGGGAAAGGAAGGCAGTGACAACGTTGGAAAAACGGCCGGGTCGACAGGGCTTGGCTGACGGAGGAGGCTTGCCGGGCTGTTGTCCTCCCGATCACGACGCAACGCCGACTGAAGGTTGATCTGGATGGCGGGTGATTGACGAGTTAATGGCTGAGCTGAGAATTGACGATCGTGATGCTGTCGGAGTGGTCTCGAAGGTTGGACCATCCGAAGCTGTTGCTTGTATTCAGTTGTAAAAGAAGAGGTGAAATATGCTTCAATATGCCAAACAACTGCTCCCCCGATCTAAAATTACATATTTATAGTACAAGAACCTCAAGATGAACTGCTGCTAGATTCTGAGCCCGCAGAGGACTCATTGCCCACTGTCGGGTAGGTCACTGACAACGTCTTCACATCTCTGACACAGCGCGTCTGCCGCCATGTTCTCTTCAGCAACGAGATACCTCCAGCATCTTGCACACTTTCCTTCAATGGGAGTGTATATCCATGCCTTGCCCATTTCGCCACTGGGCAACTTAAACTCGCCCTCGTAACTCCACTCCGCGTTTTCGATCTCTCGAGGCGCTTCGTGACTCCCATCCCCCGAAGTAACAGAAGACACCACGAACACATCGGCCAATTCATCAGTGCCAAATTCCTGGAACGGGTTGACGGAGCCAGGGACGTTCAGATGGACATATGATTGAAGAGAAGAGCCCATTTGCTTTTTAACTCGGGCCGTTTCTTGCAGCAACTTCACGACCGCGTTGGCAGCCATCAGCGCTGGATATCCCTTCTCCAAGATTGGATTCTCCCATTCCGGGTTTGGAGGAACCGTGACGCGATGGAAAGGATGCTGCATATTGGACTTGACGATGTCGGGGCAGTGTTCCCACGACTCCTCAACGAGTAGTGGGACGAACGGGCCTAGAATACTTTGGATATGGGAATAGATGTGGAAGAGAGTGGTTTGGGCAGCTCTTCTGCTTAATCCGCCAGCTGAGTCTGCATACAATCGATCCTTGATCGATTCTATGTAGAATGCAGAAAAATCGGCGTTGGCCCATCGGTTGATTGCAGTAACAGCTTTGAAAAACTCCAGGTTTTCGAATGCTTCCTGGCAGGTGAGGACAAGTGATCGCAGTTGCGACAACGCAATTTTGTCGGTTGCCCGAAGCGATTCATAAGGGACCTGGCTCTTTGGATCAAAGTCTTGAAGGGCCCCAAGGATGAGTTTGAATGTGACGCGATATTTGTGAAGACTGCCGTTGGTGGCTTTGAGAATCTGCTTCCCAATGGCCACGTCCTTTGTATAGTCGCTTCCAGCAACCCAGAGGCGCAACGCATCTGGTCCCAGAGCATCATAGACGGGCGCAGTTGGCTCCCCTTTTGAACCCTTGGTTTTTTTGATTTTCAAAGGAGGGAGAAGTGTGCCATTCATAATCTCGTGCGGATGGATTATGTTTCCAATCGACTTGCTCATTTTGCGACCAGATTGGTCGAGTGTAAATCCGTGCGTGACAAGAGTTTTGAACGGCGCTCTGAAAATGCCGTTTGAACTCTTTGCAAGTTGATTCGCGATACAGGTTAGCAGGCTTGATTGGAACCACCCACGATGTTGATCTGTTCCCTCAAGATACACATCGGATCTAATAGAACCAAAGCCGTCTTTGCCTTTCATCCGTGTCCAGCTAGTTCCACTATCGAACCACACGTCCATAGTATCAGTCCCTCGGACGTACCCTGGTCCGGCAGCATCGCGAAGAGACGGCGGTATCCATGTATTATCGTCCGCAGCATCTGTCCACCAGGCATCAATTCCTCGATCTTTAATGACGTTCATAATGTGAGTAACACTTTCTCTCGTTAGGACAGCTTCACCAGTTCCCTGGTGGTAAAGCGCAGGAATCGGGACTCCCCAGGCTCGCTGCCTGGAAATGCACCATTCGCTTCTGTTTTTGATAAAAGCTTCCAGTCTAGCCTTACCGGATGGAGGCACAAAACGAACGGTTTGTAAGGCGCCAACAGCTTGCTGGCGGATGTCACCTACATCGGCGAACCATTGTTCCGTCGCGCGGATGATAATTGGGAGCTTAGACCGCCAATCATATGGGTATTTGTGCTTGTATCTATGCTTGTGAAGCAGATGGCCTTCTTCAACCAGATGTTTTATAACGCTCCTATTACCTTCATCCAGGACATGCTTACCACTGAGCATAGACGGATTGGCAGGCATGGCAGCATCGGTAAACCGGCCTTCCCCGTCTACAGGGGCCGACGCATTTAGGCCATGTTCCAAACAAACCTCGTAATCCTCCATGCCGTGGCCCGGGGCACAGTGGACCAAACCGGAGCCGGATTCATCGGTGACGAAGTCGGCTGCGATCACTGGCTGGGTGGCCGCGTCTGCCCCTTTGAAAAGCGGTTGATACGTAGTTGAGAGCAAGTCGTTGCCTGAAATAGAGAAGAGCACTTCGAGGCTATCTTGGAGCAGCGATTCAACATACTCACGGCGGGAATTTGCGATTAAAATCTTCCCATGGTTCCTAGATTGTACGACCACGTAGCTAAGATCTCGGCTGACAGCGATTGCCGCGTTCGCTGGGAGTGTCCATGGCGTCGTCGTCCAAATAACGGCATATACCTCATGTCCAGCGATGGAAGGGTGCTCCTTTATTTTCCCTGGCAAGTCCGCCAGCAGAAACTTGACCAGAGCAGCATGGGACACATGGTCATCTCGATATTCCAGCTCCGCTTCAGCTAGTGCTGTACCCGTCGAAGGAGACCAGTAAACAGGTTTATACCTGCGATATATCAATCCCTTGTCCACCATCTCGAGAAACACTTCCAACTGCCTCATTTCGAAATCCTTGTCCATGGTCTTCCAGTGGTTGGCCCAATCAGCCATCACACCCCACTGCCGAAAGCCATTCATCTGCTTCACTACCGTCTCTTCTGCTAACTGTCGCGCAGCTTTTCGAACGGCAACTGGGCCCAAATCATTTCCCAGCCCCTTTTTCGCATTCAGCGCTTTCAGTTCAATTGGCAATCCATGACAATCCCAACCCGGAACGTATTCCACCCGTTTCCCCTTTGCCAGCTGCAGTCGGCATATTATATCCTTCAAAATCTTATTCAGCGCATGTCCGACGTGTAAATCGCCGTTTGCATAGGGCGGGCCATCGTGTAAGACGAATTGGGAGGTGGAATCGGCAGGTCGATGGCGACGCTGCCAGGCGTAGAGGTCATCGGTGCATCGTTGGAGGTATTTCGCCTGTTCGGCAGCCGCAATGCGGGCTGGAAATGTTGATTTGGGAAGCTTGAGCGTCGATGACCAAGATCGAGCGAGAGATCGCGACAGGTCAGGCATGCTCCCTCCAAACTGTCAATTGCTGCTTGAATCGAAGCTTCTGAGAGAAAAGTTTGGTCGATTTGCACCCGCTGTGAAATGAATACGGACCGGTACCAATTATACCAATTTACAGCTAATGGGCGCAGTGATATTCTGTATTATACTGAAATAGCCGTTACACTTCCCTTCTCCGAGTTATTCAATCTATTATTATATCAAAAAGGACAAAGCAATAATGGGTATTATCTGTGAGACGCCCCATCTGTTTACTCCAGGCCTGAACGCCAACAAAAGTCTAGTAGATTGTCAAGCAGCTGACAGCTCCATTCTTCAAGACTTCAAACAGCAATCCTGGAAAACCGTATAGCTCCGTGTTACCAAGCGCATTAGCATCTGCCATGGCAGGGTGACCACCATGTTTGCTCCCGGTGCTTTCTTCCCAACCCCCAAGAAACTCAACACTGCTACCAGGGCTATCTCCCCAGCCCCGATTAAGAACCATGCCTCTTTGGAACGCTGCCGCTTCTGATGCGTTCGAATAAAACCTTTTCCAGAGGGCCTTCATGCTTTCTGAGATTCTATCGTATGGTGTCTCCGAGTTGAGAGAATAGTCTCCATTTAAATCCAGTACCCATCGGCTTCGTCTATGCCGGTTAAATGGGTAAGAGCCCGGTATATTCCCGTGTAATAGCAATTTGGTGACTGTGAGTTGCGATGGATTCGATGTTGCACCTAGAGATGCCGCGGCGGATGAGCCTGGAAAAGGTGGTCCAGGAGCGGTTGGCTGAGAAATGAAAACGTCGAATCCGTGGTTAAAATAGTTATAAAAGCATTCTCCAGTTGCGGATGAAGAGCCTTGCTCCGGTGACGAGGACGAAGAGTCTCCATCAGAATCCTCTATGGCACTTGTGTCAGGAGTGTGATCATAGTCCGTTGGGTCGTAGGGGAGTTGGCTGGGCGAGGGGCTGGTACCAAAAGCGGCGGAGTTGTTTGTAACAGGACCACGTCCACCGTGAATTGTAATCCGACGGTCACTTCTCCGGTAAATTGCATCGGGCGGCCCAAACTCTGCGATTAAATCCTGGGGAGTGGTTTCAGACAAAGTAATCCAGACCGGCGTGCCTGTTTTCCGAATGAACTCGACCATTCCTGCTCCGTGAACCTTAACCAGCTCAATCTCATCGGCAATAAATTCCTTACTCTTCCCTACCAGTGCTGTCAATCGAGGGTAAATGGGCTGCCGGGTCATAAGGTCCGACCGCGAATCGGCCCATGATTCTCCAACGAATACAGCCATGGACTTTGCCGGAGACGCAGCCGAAGAGGACATCAAGGAGACAAAATCACGGCCCGGCGACCAAGATGAATGTAGCAACGGAAACGAAAAGGCTACTCCAGGATATGACAAGATATAGGTCCCGTATTTCTCGTTCCCTCGAGGAGGGATGTACTCCCCGGGATACGACAGCCCAAACAATCGGTTGTAGATATGTCGAAATTTGGGTCCGGTTTGTTCCGCTCCGTCCGCCTTGCCCCCTTTCATGACCTCGCTGCCTTTATAAGCGAGTGGTATTTTTGTGAAGTCCAACACCTCAACCAGCCGTAATCGTTGGTCTTGTCCATCAAAGCGTAGGCGCAAGCCATTCTCCGGGAGTTTTATAAGGATAGGGTTATGAATAGGGTCAGAAGACGAGTAGACTAGGTCAATAGTCGGGTATGCGTGTGGCAGGCCTTTGAGCCGTGTCAGAATGTTATGGAGCGAAGCACCAAGAGCTAGATGCGACCGCTGTCAGTGAACAGAACTGGAACACTCCGTAGATCATATACGCACTGAAAAGGCCGATCCCTCGGCCAGGTTGAACCTGTGCGGGGGAGGTGCTTGCGGATGTCGTCATGGTCTCTGCGCCAACAGAGAGTTCATCCTAGAGCTGATCTTCAAAGGACTATCAGGGTAAGCCCTCCAGAGAGGGTCAGTACGGGGAGATCAAAGCATCAGCATCAGGAAACCAACTGAGATATCAGAGTCTGTGCAAAGCAAACCGAACAGAGGGCAGATGGGATCAAAGGGAGTCATGACGACAGCGAACTGCCCGCCCAACTGACACGCGCTAAAGAGCTGCTTATCTTATCAGCACTCATGTGACCTGCGTCATGGGACTGCTGACGTAATATAGCCCTATCTTGGGTGATCCAATCAGAGTCATTGTTTATCTTTTGCTGTTTTGGGTCGTCCGATCATCAAACATCGAACATCGGCAGGCCTGTATCCTGACAGCCCTTCCCATCGAAACACGCGAATCACCGATACATGAGCAGCACAACCACTCCTGATTCAAGCTCTTTACAATGGCTGGGCCTACGCGATCGCAGCCCGCCAAAGACTCCAGGACACGAGACCCCCCCAAACGAGTACTCAGAGCACCCGCAAAGAGCCGACTGTCCACCGCTCAGGATCGCGCTGGCACGCCAGCTCGACCCATTAGGCCTTCAGTTCCAAGCTCAGCGCGCACAAATATCTCTCCTGGAACGCAAGCCAGCGCTGTTTTAAAGCGGAAAGACAGGGAATTCGATCATGAAGTACCTGGAGATACGAATATTCACGTGGTGGTCCGTTGTCGAGGGAGAAATGATAGAGAGGTGAAAGAAAATAGTGGCGTGGTTGTTTCTACGGAAGGAATTAAAGGTTCAACCGTCGAGTTGTCGATGGGGCCTAATGCCATGGGGAATAAAGCATACAACTTCGACAAGGTCTTCTCGCCAGCCGCGGACCAGGCCATCGTGTTTGATGAAGTGGTAGTGCCGATTCTGAATGAGGTATGTGATTTAGCGTTAGTGACGCAGGGCCAATGCTGATATGAGCTTCTTTCAGATGCTTGCGGGTTATAATTGCACAATTTTTGCGTACGGGCAAACCGGAACGGGGAAAACATACACAATGTCCGGCGACATGACGGATACGCTCGGATTGCTGTCCGACGCTGCTGGGATAATTCCTCGAGTGCTTTATGCGCTCTTTCGGAGACTTGAGGAAACAGAGTACTCGGTGAAATGTTCCTTTATTGAGTTATATAACGAGGAATTGAGGGACTTGCTTTCGCCGGAAGACAATTCAAAATTAAAGATATACGAGGATGGGGCCAAAAAGGGGAGCCACGGCACCATGGTTCAAGGGATGGGCGAGTCCTATATCCACTCCGCATCAGATGGTATCAGATTGCTCCAGGAAGGCAGCCATCGTCGCCAGGTTGCAGCAACAAAATGCAACGATCTCAGTTCCAGAAGTCATACTGTGTTTACGATTACGGCGTATATCAAAAGATCAACGGACAAAGGCGAGGAATTTGTCAGCACAGGAAAATTGAACCTTGTTGACTTGGCTGGAAGTGAAAATATCCAACGCAGCGGCGCGGAAAATAAAAGGGCAGTAGAAGCTGGACTAATAAACAAAAGTTTACTTACCCTAGGCCGGGTAATTAACGCTTTGGTAGACAAAAGCCCTCATATTCCCTACAGGTCAGAATTCTCTCCCCTGCGTCCATAGAGCGGAAACTAAACCCATACTACTACATTTAGGGAGTCAAAGCTTACCCGGCTGCTTCAAGACTCGTTAGGTGGCCGCACGAAAACATGTATCATAGCGACAATTTCCCCCTCTCGTAGCAATCTAGAAGAGACGATCTCGACGCTAGACTACGCATTCCGTGCTAAGAATATCCGCAATAAGCCCCAGATAAATTCGACAATGTCCAAGAAAACATTACTACGAGAATTTACTACTGAGATTGAGAAGCTAAAAGGGGAGTTGATAGCCACGAGACTCCGAAATGGTGTTTATCTGTCAGCAGCCTCCTACGAGGAAATGACCGTGGAAAGCGAGTCACGACGGATCCTCACAGAGGAACAGAGAGCGAAGATAGAAAGCATGGAATCCAATTTGAAAAATAAAGTCCAGGAACTGTTTACATTGACGAGTAATTTCAACATGCTGAAAAAAGATAATGAGGCTACTCGAGCAGCTTTGGACGAGACGCAAGATGTATTGGAGAAAACCGAAATCGTCTTACAAAATACCCAGAAAAGCTTGGAGGAAGAGGAGATGTTACGAAGAGCACATGAGGCCACTGAATCTGAGCTCCATAAAATTGGAGCTAATCTTAGATCACAGTTGGAACAGTCATCTGCAGATGTTGAAGGTCTACACTCAAAGTTAGGACGGCATTCTCAGCTTCATCACTTTAATAAAGATACGTGGGAGTCTTCGACTAGCTGCATGTTGGATATCACAAAGATTATTGATGACCGAATGACCGCTTTCCAGTCACTACACGATGACAGTCTGCGGCAACTCTCTTCAAAAGTGAAAGACTATGTTACTGAGGAGTTAAACACCATGGATATGGATCGCTCGCTTATAAAGAACTCGAATGCATTGTTGCAAAGCATGGAAGACGATACAAAATTGAAGATGTCTTCGAATCGAGATGAGATGAACAACATCCTAGGCGAGATTAAAGACTTGAGAGAGGACGTCCAAGGAAAGGTTGGGGCAGGCTTAAATGGCTTGTCTTCTGCTGCAGCCCGTATTTCCGGTGAAGTCATTGATGAACTTCAACAATTTCAAGGTGAAGTAAGTTGGAATCAAACGATATACTGAATAATATGGGGGCTAATGATCCCAGTTCCGCGAGATGCATAAATCCCTAAGTGATGAACTCGCAGCAATGTTTGGATCGCTCGTGCATCAACTCCAACTTCAAAAAGACTATATTAATGACATCCGTCGACAATTACAGGAAGCCAACCAAAAGGCCTTGCAAGCGAGCGAAGAAGCTGCATCAACACTTGAGACTGTGATAAGCGAAGAAAAGCAGAATTCAGAAAGGGAGCGAGCGGAGCTCATGTCGCAGATCCAGAGTCTTCTAAGCTCATCGGCGGAAAAGCAAGCGTCTAGGCTTAGAAAGAACATTAATGGCGTTAGGGCTGACATGAAAGCTTCACGGTCTTCATTACAACAAGCCAGTGTGTCATACAGCCAGGAGATGGATAGTTGGGCTGAAAATGATAGCAAGCTCACGGAGAAGGTACTAGCATCTGAGCGGGAGTTGAAATCAAAGATGGCAGAAAATATGGATGTATGTGGCGGGCAAGCTCTTGTGCTGGGACAACTGCTGACTGGACCATAGGTGTTATCAACGAGACATGCTTCGATCGAAGAAAGTACAAGTGCAGTGCATGCGGAGACCGTACGCATCGTTGAGGACCAGAAAAAGGATATGCAAGTGCAGATGCAGGCATTGGATGAATTTGTAACGCATGCACGGTGCCAGAACGATGAATATCACAGCTCAAATCTGGAGATACTGGATAGTTTTGCCCTGAATGTTCGCGGCGCTCATGGCGAAATTGGCGATCATCTTGAGAAGTTACAGTCAAGCGCAGAAGAGTTCCTCTCGACAGTTAGCGGCGACCATAAGGAAATAGAAACCATCGTCTCGAACTTGACAGCGGATGTTAGGAATCCCCTCAGCGAGCTTCAAAACAACATTCAGGATGCACGAATGACGGAGTATAGCCCAACTGGCAGTACTCCGGAGAAAGTCCAGTACAATTTTTCAGTCACGCTACCACGGACCGACTCGCATGATAGACTTATCCGGAGGCTAAGGGGTGTTAAAAGCCCTGTGAAGAGCCCTAAGAAAAGCCCCATAAAACGGGCACCAGTTACTCTTGTGTCACTTTCGTCTCCAATAGGCCCTGGGCCATTATCTCCGAGTAAAGGGTTAGTCTATCACGATGAAGATGGGTTGGTGGAGTCCCCAAGCAAGCCATGTTCTACGTCCTCTGGGCTAAGGGAAGTTGATGTTAATATCTCTCGTCTGCCGACTAGCAACGTGACGCCTAAAGATGCCTTTGGAACGCACGAGCAACTCGACGGCTTGTGCAAAGATATGCAGCCACCATCGAAGAGACGGTTATCGGCGAGCTTCGCGGCGAAAGCGAATTTGACAGGGGAGAGCAAGATGATGATTCCAACAAAGACGACGAGGAGGAATGCAACTACTGTCGGTCCTGGTGTGGCGTTTGAGGGGAGGGAAAATCTGTTGCCTCCGGCATTGGCAAGCGGCATGGCGCCTGTGAGGAGAGTGAGGAGTGGGCCAGAGTGAAGCAAGGTTATGGGTAGGTATTGTTTGGGTGTTTTACAAAGGCAGTGCTGGTTTTTTGGATATGTGGATTCAGCTACGGGATATGGCGGACGGAGAATCTTTTGGCTGGCGACTGGTGTTGGCGGTTACGGCGTATCACTACTGCTCACTGTTTTTGGATTGGTCTGGTTTCCTGAGAGGATCGAGGCAGCGTTTTGGATAACTAGGTAGTCTAGTTTTATATTTGGTGAACAAACTAATAATGCATCTTCTCAGATTGATCAAATACAAATGGCAAGAATTATTGCTAGGTGTCCACTAGCTCAAAACGCCCAATATCAGAAAATCTACCAGGGCCGTAGCCTAACCAACTCCGAGAAATAGATTCCTAACGCCAATAAGTCCCCCTAAACATGTCAACTTCCAATTCAGTCACCCTCATCCCGCTCTTCTTGTCCGCGCGGCTGTACCCCGTATCCACTGGCGTCAACAACTTTCCTCAACTCACCCATCCGCTTTTCAAACAGGTCCACCATCTCGTCCAGCGCTTGCTGACCGGTTGCGACGGACGTGTTGCCCTGTGACGCCGCCCGCGGTTTGGATCCCGCTAACGCGCCTGATCCCGCCGTGCCTTCGACTCTGAGCATCAGGCCTCCGGGGGGGAAGCGGCCGGAGTCTGGCTGTGCGGTGTCTGACATGGCGGCAGGATTGAGGGAGGAGTCGAAGGTCGGGGTCGGGGTGAGGTGGGTGTTGAGGACTTGCCAGGTGGGTGAGAGCGAATGGGCAGATGTTATTTTGTAGTGAGATGGGGGTGGAAAGGGGAGATGGGTGATGTTGGAGTTGGGACTGGGGCCGGCGGAGGGAATTGCGGGCGAGGGGAGGAGGTTGGGATTCTCAGTGGACGGGCTGGTGGCTGTCGGTTGGATGTCGAGTACTATAAAATGTTCTTGAGCGTTGGACATGCGGGGAGGGAGCTTGCCGGCGTAAAGGGAGGAGGAGGATAGGTCGGCTGGGTCTGCGGTAGTTTTCTTGCCCTTGCCGGCTTTTGACGACGGATACGGCAGGTATTGCTGCTGGTCCAACGACCGCATCGCCGCCTCAGTGATCAGACTCGTGTCGTCGTCGCTGAAGACATAATGAACCGTTGGATGGTAGAATTTCGAGGTGTTGACATCCTCGATCAGGGTGAAAAAGGGCCGAAACGAAGACGGCGTGCCGTCCCGTGCTCCGGGTGACGGTTCGTGTTCTTGTCTGTCCTGGTCGGGCTGCGTGCGGGCATAGGTCTGGTATTGGCCTTGTCGATAATCTGGAGGAGTAGCGGTGGCTTGACTTGGGCCGTCGTTGCTGCGAGTCGAAGGCCTGGTGGTCGTCGAAGGTCTGGGGGTGGAGGACTGCGAGACGGCGCGCTGGTTTTCGAAGCTCATCATCCGCCCTGCTTTTATCCAGATTTTATTATTTAGATCCTTCGATGAACTGTATCCTAGGTATGATCGTTGCGAGGAATGGGATATGGAGTTGGGAGGCGGTCCTCTGTATGATGAGATGGAAGATCGAAGCTTGAGTGTGTTGCAAAGTCTAGTCCGTTACATACATTGCCTAGCAAAGAATATCAATGTATAAAGGCAGCAATAGTCAAAGCATTCAAATCAATTGAACAAGTCTGGGTATCATAGCATTAACTAACTACCAAAGCAGTTTCAACGCCTCTTTCGCCGCCCATCGCATCATTCTGCATCCTGCTTCCATTCGAACTCTACAACCATCAATATCAGCCGTTATTTCTAGCACGACAGTGTGTAGGCCAACTTACTCTGTCTACACATCGGGCAGAGTCCTTTAGAGGATTCTTGTTGGATCCATGTCAGGAGACAATGCTAAGTGGAATTCATCAGTCGTCTCTGGCCCATCAATGTAGGCATACCCGCCGTGGGGAAAGGGAAGTCATCGGGACCATCTACCATATGAAACGAATGTCCGCATTTCCCAATCACTGTGCGCGTATCCCATGAGCCCCAGTCCTTTTAAAAATCCAGTCAATGTCATGGGATAGGGATACTCACACAGCGTGCAATCGTCACCGGGATATTTGCAGGTTGGACAGGTGCCATCAAACTGGACCCGGCAGATGCCACAGACATCTTCCTCCGGCATGTCCCATCGCCATGTTGCCACGGCATTCCACTGCTTGATTGTGACCTTCATCTCTGTTCTGCCACCATCGATCACCTGGTATCGGGCGGGCTCCCGGGTTTGACGAAGAAAAGAAGCTTTCGGCCGCACAGCTGGGCGCAAGAACCGGTGGAGATGGGTTGGGTTTGGGGCGTTCTCAATGGCCCGTCGGCGTCAAGAGCTGTTTTGCCTCTTCGGCGAAACGCCAGTATCGAATTAAGTTGGCTCCGGCGGCTGGCAAGGTCTATGACGCCCCTTGTTCTCGTGATTGTTTCCCGTTGTTATCAGCTTGAAAAGAAGACGCAGTCGCAGTAGTCGCGATTGAAAGAGAAGAATCGTGCCTTCACCACTTTAAACCCCGCGTCTCGGAGATTCCCTGCTCATTCACGGCTGTTCTCCCTCTTCCTCTCTTCTCTCATCGTGATGTAAGAACCAGTCAAGATCCTATTGCAACAGAGCTCCATTTCCCTCCCAAGCAATGGCTTCTGTGGCTCTCCGACCCATTGTGTTCTCACATCGTGTTCTGCCCCGGTTTAGGTCCTCCATCGCCAGCCCACTGCTCCAAGCAAACCACCAACAACGCTCCATCTCCGTATTCTCCTCTTATCTCATCACTCCCAAGGAGCTCAATGATGGGCTGAGAAAGAATGTGCCAACCAAAATCTCAACTTCACCGCGCGTCATTCCCTTATGTGCCGCTTGGTTCATGCCCAACGACCCAGAAGGACGCACCGGGATTGAAGCCTTCAAGAGGAAGAGAATTCCGCAGTCGCGTTTCTTTGATATAGACGCTGTTAGCGACACCAGTTCGCCATATCCTCATATGCTACCAACCAAGGAGCGATTTGCAGCGGCAATGCAAGATTTGGGGATCCGTCGCGACGACGAGGTAGTGGTCTACGACACGGAGGAATTGGGATTGATGAGTGCTCCTCGCGTGGGCTGGACGTTTAGATACTTTGGGCACGAAAACGTTCGCATTCTAAACAACTTTCGCCTGTGGGTTCGTGAGGGATATCCTACTGAGTCGGGTGAGATTACGCCGGTGGAGAAATCGACCTACGAGGTGCACACCCATCACCCCGAAATGGTGGTCCAATTCGCCGAGATGAAGCAGATTGGTGACGATTATGGCAAAGAAGGTGCGGACAGTGTTCAAATCGTGGATGCTCGGCCCGCTGCACGATGGTCGGGACAGGCGCCTGAGCCTCGCCCGGAACTGTCTTCGGGACACATGCCGGGCTCTGTGAATGTGCCGTTCCCAGAGCTTCTTGATCCTGACACTAAAACGTTACTGCCGGAGCCGGAATTGCGCAAGGTGTTTGAATCCAGAGGAGTCGACTCGTCGCGGCCCATCATTACTTCTTGTGGATCCGGGGTAACAGCGGCGGTCATTGACCTGGCGCTCAATGAAGCAGGGTACGGCGATTCGGGTTCTAGGAGATTGTACGATGGAAGTTGGTCGTAAGTGTCCCCAGCTCTGTAAACTAGTTAATACCACAGCAACATTTTTGTCGTTTCTGACACATGAGCAGGGAGTGGGCCGCCCGAGTTTCCGAATCAAGTGGATTGATCCGCAAAGAGTGATGGCTGTTTCTGCAATTATATTAGCTTGGGGAGAGAAATTTGATATCCATGCGCATATGCATTTCGCGGCCATTGAAGCTCACGGCTTTTGCTCAGCGTTCATAGTAAATAAGTGCCGTTTTCATGTATGAGGACAATGGATTGTATATGAACTTCTGCGAGTATTCTTTGACACTATGTTTACCACGAAATTGCACTCGAAGAATCGTTCTTGTTGGCCCATCATGAAATACTTGCTCTTCTAGGCTATCTTCTATGGGAAAGTGGGTACTCTTGTTCTCAGTTTCTTATCCCTATCTGTTAAATAACCCTTTGGCTGCTAAAGCGAATCTAGCAGAAGAGATTTAGATCGAAACCAACCATCCAAGGGTTGCCAGTGACGAAATTGGGGGGATGCTCCTTGTCGAAACATCGTCTTTCCTTTGTCCCTCTTACGGGCTCGGCTGGATAAAAGTATCATTACTGGGGAAGTGTTTCATATGCCCTGTGCATCGCCTGGAGATATAAAAATGGGGGATCACATATGTTTGCATAAAGCACTTCTTTGCAGTGGTTTATATATCGAGCCTTTATCGAACCCGGACAAACTTGATTTTACTTCCTGCCAGGATGGACAACAGGAGCGAGCAGTTCGGCTCGCCCGCTGAGTATATGAAATCCCTGGCTGAGCAGTTCAGACCAAGTTACACCCTTTCTCTGGGCATCAGTGAAGAGGATATATTCTCTATCAACATAGATCCCGATCAGTGGTATCTGGCCGAACTTGACCTAGTGGAGATATGAGGGGATGTTAAGGAGTGTCACGAGAGGCAGAAAAATGGATATGTTGATCAGTAATAGAAATCGTTGCTTTAGATACAAATCAATGATTATTTACATCATATAAACTGACTGAATTGATGTTTCAACTATGGTGACGACAAGGTGACTCTGGAAGCCGTGCGAACCTTGATAGATGCCTGTGCTTAGTCATCCACCCCTCGCTGGCATCCCAGCAATCAAACCACCAAATCCGAAGAACCGACCTCAACTCTTGAACTGCCATCGAGAGCGCTGGATTCCTCTTGGTCGTTGCTCGTCCATCCCATCGACCTGTAATTGGCACTTCCGCCTTGCTGTATCGCGCCTACAGCTTGCTCTGTGCCGGCTCACCTTCACTAGCAGATCCAAAAATGCTTGACAAAACTATCTGCAGTGATCTTGTCCATTATTGTGAGTTTGTTGCTGCAACCTTCTTCACTTGAACGTTCCCTCCTCGAAGGCTTGTGTCACTGTCTCTGCTGGAAGACGATGGTCATGCCCTCGTCACTTTCCGCCCACTGTTGACACCAAACTGTGCTCAAACTCCGGAACTCAAATGTTTTCGACGATATCCTCTTTATCTAACTACATCCGTGTAGCGCATACGTTCGCACAAACTCCTTGAGAGCTGATCTGTTATCTGGGATCTACTCTGTCAGGAATCCAACGGGCGAATATTCCTTCTCCTACCGCATTTATCCAGGATATCATCATGTCAGTTGGTCGCAAGGTCTTTCATTGTGTGGTGGATGATACCGCTTTAGCCGCCAATATTGGCGACATCAAAAAATGGACTTCGCAGGGTGCTATCAACCTTATCGTACCTCTTTATAGTATGTGCTCCTACCCTGACCTTCGCGTATCCATTTCTGAGCTAACATCCTTCCAGCGCTTGAGCGCCTTCATGCCCTGAAAAAGATTCCCTCCCAAACCGGCGTAAACGCCCGCGAGTCACTCCGTTTTCTCGATCGCGTAACTTCTGGCAAGCACAGCATCCCAGCCTCCAAGGTAGTGCTTCAAGGGCCGATGGAACAATTTGGGACTTGGGCAGAGGCGGAGAAATATCTTTTACCGGAATTCAAGGAGGAGGCTGTGGACAGCCAGGCTCCAGTATCTACTACTTCGGCCCGTGCATCGATCGTTGAGCCCGCGCAGAAGTCCGCCGAGAATGGACTCGGAATCACTGGGGGCATTGACGATCTTAATGAAATGTCTCAGATGCTCCTTAGCAAGCTGAATTTTAAAAACGACATGGATACGGCGTCAGCGAACTCTGCCGGGACCCCCAGTTTCCCTGCCTCCCCAGCCACGGCTAGTTCCCGCCAAAGCCCAGAGTACGCTGCTCGCCAGCTGGGAGAACCTCAGAGAGACGAGAGCGATTCAGTTCAAGAAGACGAAACCCCTGAACGTGTGTTTGTCAACCCGGTTGTTCCGCAAGAGATTAGGCCTCTTCTGAATGCTACTCTTTGGCGACTCCATGCCCACCCGGATGCCACTTCTGCTGCATCCGGTTGCGTTCTCGTTACAAATAACCGCTCCTCTCAGGCTTGGGCTCAAAAGTTCGGCATCGCAGTCAAGAATATTCCTCAACTCCGGACTTCCATCATCTATGAAGAAAAGGAATTCAAAAACCACTGCAAATATCTCGAAAAGAACCCTACTAATGAGCCTAAGCCACTCCTCTCTTACGAGGACGAGAGTGACGAGGACGTCCTCGTCTTCGTGCCTCGCGGCCAGGCAAAGCTCGGAAGTGCTGGTTCCAACACTCGAACTCCTACCAAGGCTTCGCCTGTCACTCCTCGAAGTGCTAACAGCCATACCAACGGAAGCGCAAGAATCAAGAGCAGTCCAACTGAACCGCAGGTCGAGATGCCTTCAACGCCGATTGACCCCGACTCGTTTAATCGCAATTTTGGCGTGGTAAAGCAACAAGGCGCAGCCAATGCGAACACTCCTAATACTGTGAGCCGTGGGCCGCCCCCGCAACATCCTCGTTCCGGAGGCCCGGGTCGTCGGGGAGGCCCTCGAGGAGGCGGCATGTTTCGAGGCACTGGTAGAGGTCGTGGAAGACTCTGGGTTCCTTGATTCTCTGCGAATTTCCAACGGCCCTTCCTTTGTGCGATCGGTTGTTGGAAAGCGACATGTTTCAATACCTAGAACCTCTCAAGACCACATACCATCAGTGCCGGATCGATGACTACGAGCTTAACGGTGTCGCAACCGCCGAACTTTGGACCCTGATCGGTTTCTGAGACGTCCAACGATGGGATATCTTTCTCTTACGGAATCGCAGCTAAGGTAATCCAACGCACTTGGCAGCAGCGTGACATGCATCCGTGGCTTTTGCGGAGCGACCAGCCCACTTTATTAACAGCCGAAAAGTCCCCTCTCTCGACTTCACGTTGCGTTTCCATGTTTACCGTATTCATTCAGGGGTTGGGATGAATGATGAAGATCTTGGCGATGTATTTTCGCCCTCCCTTTCCTTCGCAATTTTCGGGTCTCTTTAATCTGTTTATGGCGAGCTAAAATGACTGTTGGGCGATGAGCCAACCAATCTGAAGCCACAGCCTTGTTTGGTGGTATTTTGTGCAGAGTATATGTTGCCCGGGAGAAGCTACGGGGGTCTGGGAGGCTTGAATCAAAACAATATGTGACTGCGAATCAGCGGGTTCCCTTTACCATTTTCTCGTTTAGTTGTGTTGTATGCAAATTGAGCTTACTACGAAGTGTCGGAAACTATCTTCTAGGTGTCTGCTTCATCTGGTGTAGAGCTGAGCCTACTGAGAACTGTCGTATAGGATGCACGCCACTTGACGCCCACTCACTGACTGACCAGCTAACGAGCCGTTCTTGGTGGCCCCACGATAGGCGTCACAGGGCAAAGCGGGGCAACCTGACCTCCAAGCGTCATCGCCAGAGTGCCCGTAAACACGCCCTGATCGCCTGATACAGTCCCCCTGGACATGAAACATGATTTGTATCTCGCCTCTCTCCCATCTCCCGTAGATCATTGAACTTGTTTCTCTGGAGCAATCCATTCTTCCACTCTTCCATCCGCTACGCTTCACACCCAACAACTCTAGCCATCGGCTGAACCAGACAACGAGCAAACCACGATGACTGACTCCCCGCACATCGACTCCTCCCCCCTCTCACCGACTCTGGAGCGGCGGAACTCGCTAGAGAAGTGTCTCCAGCGCAGACCCGACCCGCAGGATCTGAAGGATAGGCATATATTGCTAGATACCACCGCTGCTCCGTACGTTCTCATATCTCCCCCAGACAACAAAAAAGGAACAAACAAACAAATAAAACCCCATTCTCGAAAACCGCCAGGGTCAAGGACGGAAATGCTGAGCCAAGACATGAATCTAGTTCCCTCCAGGCAGCACAGCAAGAGCTCGCCCGCCACCGCGCGATGGACAGTCTCAAACGTAATCTAGAAAAGAGGCCGGAGAGGGATATTCTAGTTGAACGTGCGCCATTTGCATCCATTATCCTTCTTGTGTTATATTGTACACACAGCTAATCCAGCCCTCCTGGTAACTAGGAAATATCCTCCCCCATTCCAACGCCGCTCCTGCTCTGCAGGCACACGCAAAGGAGCTAGAGAGACACATGCTTGCGGATTCGTTGGAGCACAAGATCCAACAGCGGCCCAAGCCGGAGGAATTGATAAAAAATGGTATTCTGGATGAAGACGAGGACCCGACGAAGGTTTGAGAGGGTCAAGGGAGGTGGGGAGAATGCGATTTATCTATGGGTTCCAGTTTGTTATGGGTTGGGAGCTTGATGACTTGAAATGATTGATGACGGAAATGGTTTTGAGCAATGGGCTTGGGGTTGAGATATACTCCGCTTTGGCTTTTGATAACTCTATTCATATCAATGCTGTAAACAGCATCCGCGTACATATTGTTGAGTTTGCAAATCCAGTATTGGGGTTTTGTTAACATTACCATAGTTATTCTTGTAAAGTAATTGTACTCACATAAACATCATCCCATTGGTCATACCGCCATCATTCATTAACCATACAATCTGCTAAGACCAGAGTCGACCAATGATGCTGTTAATAGCTTTCCACCGGAGCCGTACTCGCAGACAAGTCCGGCACCCATCCCTCAGGCCGCTCCCGCCCACGAACCAGGAAACCGTAAGCAGCCCTCTCAACCTTCTCCACGCTCGTCTGCATAACCTCCATCTTTTTGTTTAGCTCTTTCGTCAGGGAATGGTTCCGCGGAACATTCAGCTTTTCAAACATAGCCCGCAATTCCCGTAAATCAACCATGATCCCCTCCGCCGACGAACCGTGTCCAAATCCGGACCCTGATTCACCACTTGGCCCGTCGACGTTTGCATCCGCGAGCGTACTCCGCGGACGATTTTCTCCTGTGCTCATTGCCGTGATGGCGAAACGCATCAATTCTCCGGTTAGGTCAAACAACCCTAGTACATAATCCGTCTCCGTGACATATATTTCGGGGGGGAGTGAGTTCCTCACTTCCTCGAGAGGAATGAGCTGTTTCTTTTCAATGTAGTACTGAAAGGAGAGTGCTTCGATGTACTCCTGCACGCCCCAGGTGATTTGGTATTGATATCGCCAGGAGTTGAGACCGGACACATCGGGAGTTATGGAATTGAAGAGGTTGCGGATTTGGGCAAATCTGTCAGTGTTTTCTTTGGCGATGGACCTTGGGACGGTAGTGTTTAAGCTCCGAACCCTGGGAGTTATTAACCGCTTTGTTCGGACTAAAGCACAGCTGAATTGGTCGCGGAGATCACTTTACCTGTGAAGGGAGTAAATGCTACATCAATAGTCGTTAGCTTCTATTACCATCCCACAAACTACGCGTTGTCTACTTGAATACGTACATCTTTTTACTCAAGGCTGTAATATCTCGCGACGCCTTGATCACACGTTCCCGGCGATCATGGTGCTCGTCCAATTCGCTCCGGAAGTACGAAAACAAGGACTCAACACCTCCCTTTTGCTCCGGTTCAGTCATTTTTCCACCTTCAGCCCTCTGAATGAGGTTTCCTTCCCAAGACCTTTTGGTGCCCATCGCCGCAAGACAGGCTGGCTAGTCGGGGCTTCAATGCTGCTGATGGCCAGGCGAGAACGACTCTCCAACACGCCAAGATATATCATCACGTGATCGCATGTTTGCGCTGTTTGACTGTGGGTCCGACTTCAACTCCCGAAATCCAACATCTCGACCTCGTCGCTCATGGATTGAGGAAAGCAAAAAGCCACCAGGGCCAACAATCGTTTGGCCTTGTGGCGGTTGCTCCTCCACACAAAGTTTTGCCGAGGCTGGTGCACGTTGAACCTATCCCTCTTAGGCACGGGCCCTTGCGCCGCAGAGCTTCGTTGCTGGCTGAATTTTGAGGGGCCCCTGCGCCAATCAAGGGGCCCCATTCTCCGTCCGTCTCCCTGGTCAAAGTTCAGCAACGGGAAGGATTGCTTGGAGAAATGTGGGACGGCGAAAGTGCGCCCGGTAAGGAAGCCTTTCCAGTGCACAGAGCAAGAGCTTGGGGACGCGCTGTTTGACCTGGAAATATTTATAGTTGACTACCTCTTCATTTTCCATGTTTTGACGAATTTGCCATCAATGCGTCTACCTCCATCCCGGCTTTCTCTCTGACTGAAACCTCAACGGGCGACGAAACTTTAGGCCTCTCTCGCTTGTCCTATCATGATGCTGCGATCTCAGAAGCGAAATTCGCCCCTCAATGCTTTTACTTCCGGGGCTGAAAAGATGGTCCCCCGATTGTGCCATACACTTAAATTTTGCAACAGATTGTCTCCTCTTCTCGAAGGATGATAAACACCTACCGTGATTTTCGGTCCCTGAACATTAAGAAATAACGACCATAAAAGAGTAAAAAAAGAATGCACCTTGAGTCCAGATAATTCCATGTTGCCTACTCGGTAGTTGGCCTCCCCTGCCCATGCGGTTGAAGGCTCGAATCCAATGTTCCAAGATTGGACAGCAGGCCAGACCGATTTCTGCTCCTTGACACCTCACACATAACGGGACTTCTAGTGTTCGTGACCGTCCAAAGCGGCTCATAACTGCCTAACTGCTCGCACCCATGTTCCACATTTTTGAGGGGTTCGAAAATCCAGATAAGGCCCGGAGTCAGAGCCGCGAAGGCCGTGGCAAGGCTGGAAAAAGATCCTCAACGGTTCGCGCGTGTGAACAATGTCGACGTCGCAAGATTCGCTGTGATGGGGAACAGCCCTGCGAAGCGTGTCAATGGTATAAAAAAACCGACCTGTGTCACTATTCAGACCCACGGCCGTCTAGAAGGTATCGCCTTTCTTTTTTTTCAATACGTTCGTTGCTGCCCACGGCCTTGGCTTATCCTGAATATCACCCTTTTGCGCGAACTGCCCGTTGCAATTGTTTTCGAGTAATACGATTATTCTCGATGCCGTCATTTCTCTCAGCAGTGCTCTACAAAATTCTGATGAACCACCCAACTCACATAGGCATGTCGAAAAGCTATCTTCGACCGTCGAGGAATACCGAACCGTTTTCGACAAACTTTTCCCTAGTGTTCCTTTGCAATCCCTTCTAAACCTGCCGCGCGAGAAACTCTTAGAGCTGGCCTCAAACGCCCAATCGCATCCTGAATCTTCTCCGGTCCCTGCGTCCGCGTCCAAGTACTCACCGTCTGCCGAAAACCATGTATCCCCACTCCCACCAGACGACGAAAACCTGGAATCTCTCCAGACGATGCCGGACGATACCACTGAGAGTCAGGGATCGAGCAGCTCGGACCTCTTGGCTACAGTCTCCGATGATGTTAACGCTTTGTCTTTATCGACAAAACGCCCGTCAACATACCTAGGAATTTCTTCCGTGAACGCCGTAATGCGAGTAATTACTTGGATTGATCCTGAGAGCTCCCAGCATTTTTCGAGGACCTCCAATCGACAGCCCCGATCGAAACAAGAGAAAGTAGCGCCCCGAGACGGTTCTGGGTGGGCTCTACCACTCCAGGCCCCCCAGCGTGGACCATTTGGAAGTAAACAGCGTACTTCTCATGGACGCGTACTTTGCGTATTTTCATGCCTTTGCGCCATTGCTAGATAAGCAGCTGTTCCGGGAGACAGTTTTAGCAGGCAAAAGATCCGACCCACGTTGGTTAGCTCTTCAAAATATAGTTTTTGCACTCGGAAGTATCGCCGCATACACGGCTAACGATACATCACACGAGGGTTTCTATTTGAGAGCTAGACACTACTTGAGCTTGGACACTCTAGGAAATCCGCATTTGGAAACCATTCAAACCCTGGCCCTGATGGGAGGACATTATTTACATTATATTAGCCAGCCAAATTTGGCGCATTCTTTTATGGCGGTTGCTTTGCGCATGGCCATAATGCTGGGCCTACACAAGGCATTCGCGGATAATCATAATGATGCCAGCCTAGGTAACCAAAGAAAATTCTCCATTGACCTACGAAGAAGAATCTGGTGGTCTCTTTTTTGCCTGGACACTTGGGGATACATGACACTTGGCAGACCGAGTATGGGACGGAGCGGCCCCGGAATTACAGTCAAACTCCCCCAATACAATGGAACCAGGGTAAATTGGGCTCTCTATCCATGCATCGCAAGATCAATTTGCGTTCTAACCTTCATATAGGAATTGGCACTGTGTGTTCTATCTTTAGTGGAAAACACTCGATTTTGTAAAATCGCGACGCAGGTTGGGGATGCCCTCGCAACCTCTCCGATCGTTGCCTATTCAGAATTGGTTGGCCTTGACGATCAGCTGGTTGAATGGTTTGACAAACTTCCTCCAGTGCTAAAAGATCACGAGCCTTGCCCAGATCCCGTCTTGACAACACGTACTGTGATGCGATGGCGGTATCAGAGTCAACGAATCCTTCTTCATCGGCCTGTGCTACTGAGTTATGCAATGCGTCGTGTCCCTTATGTGGCCCTTAGAACGGAAGAGCGCTACGCTATTGAAAAGTGTAGAATGGTCGCTGACGAAACAATCCGCGATGTCGCTTCCACCACTCGACTGAATCAAATGACGGGATGGAACGCCGTCTGGCTTCTTTTCCAGGCCACACTGATTCCGCTGCTTGGACTTTTCATCGCTGACAGCACTGCCACTCATCCATATGCCACGTTAGATAGCTGCAGGAATCAAGTTGAGACCGCCATGTGTGCGTTGGAACGTCTGGAATCTTGGAGCCCGACAGCCAAAAGGACTTTGGAGGTGGTTTCAAAAATTTTGGAAGCTAGCCAACGGCCACGCACTACCGTCACTAGCAGTTTCATATCTGGAAGCCAAGCTAGCTCCGCCGCTGTATCATTGAACACACCAAACAGCAGTCCTCCCGTCCACAACATGAATCAAGTACCGGTACTTGGTGGCACAGGCTTCCAGGGCTACCAAGCTATCGCTCCGTATATGGGGAACACACCACAACAAATGCTGGATTTTATCAGCTGGGGAGACAATACGAGTATTTGGCCCAGCGCGCAGGAAGATTTCTACCCTCCGCCAGCGACTACCGTGGAATTGCTCGGCCATAGCGAGCATTATCTTAAATCACTTGGTCATAGCGCCACTGTCACAGGTGCAAGGGAAGCGATGTACGACGCTGGATTGCCACCCACCCAAAATGTCGTTCGGTTCTCATAGATGCTTGAAATCGGCCTGCCGTTTGCAGCAACTCTATACTAATCAAGCATAGAATCTCTTGATACTCCCTACACTCTAGAAAATCTATAGCAGCAGGCGCGAGCACTCACTCCTAGATTCAAGAGTCAATTGTTCATAAACAAATATTACTCTCAGTACACCGATATTAGCTAGTAAAGCGTCATCAAATTATTTTGGGCAACCTGCGAAAGAGATTCATACAACTAACTAGTAGTTACCATCAACGTGCTTAGTCATCCAAAAATTCAACGACAGCCTTTGAACACCCGATGAAAGTAGCAATATTGACACTTGTGCGAGTTTTCTGTTTCTTGCATGTTTGAACCCAAGCTTTGAGGCTGAAATTGCCATTGTTATGTCAATTGTGCTTTATTACCAGAGTTGAAATGCATGGCTAGCCGGTCAACCAATGATTTATTTGCAGTGCGCCTATGAATCATAATTCGCAACCATAATACCGGTGGTTGGAAGCCATTATACAACCAGAGACCAGACTGCCATCATGGCATCAATCCCCTTTTTTTCCTCCCCTTCCCGGGTATTCACCGCTGCACTTGTATTGCGTCTCGTCCTGCTGCTCTACGGGCTCTATCAGGATGCCCATTCCGCCATGAAATACACCGATATTGATTACTACGTCTTCACCGATGCCGCACGGTTCGTATCACGGGGCCAATCGCCCTACGACAGGGCTACTTACAGATACACCCCGTTGCTTGCTTGGCTCCTCGTTCCCACAGCCTGGACTGGCCCTTGGCCGCTGGGCGGGTTGTGGTTTTCGTTTGGCAAAGCGCTGTTTGCGCTTGCGGATATTGTTGCTGGGTGGCTGATTGTGCGAGTTTTGAGGGAGCATCGGGGCATGGATGTTACTCGAGCGTTGAAGTATGCGAGTATTTGGTTGTTGAACCCGATGGTCGCGACGATTAGCACGAGGGGGAGCTCGGAGGGGTTGCTGGGGGTGATGGTGATTGCGCTGCTGTGGGCGGTATTGCAGAGAAGAGTCGGTTTGGCAGGATGTTTGTTGGGGTTGGGAGTGCATTTTAAGATATATCCGTTTATCTATGGGCCGGCGATTATCTGGTATTTGGATGATCGGGCGGATAGCGGAAAGGGGGCTGATGGAAGGGATCAAGAGCTTGGATGGATTTCACAGACCTTGCGGTTCGCTACGGTCAAACGATTCAAGCTTACCCTAACAGCTCTGGGGGTGTTCCTTGCGCTGAATGTGGTAATGTACATGATCTACGGGTTCCCCTTCCTACAACACACCTATTTGCACCATCTGACGCGAGTGGACCATCGGCATAATTTCTCACCGTACAATATTCTGCTCTACCTATCGTCATCGGATGCAGCAAAGGGCATTCCACGGAATAATTTTGAATCGCTTGCGT